AAAAAAAAAAAATCCGATCCCTTTCCCTTGTTTCCTTGAAATTGAGGAACAATTTTATCGGCAGTCGCGGTGATTTTCCTTATACATATTTGGAATGCACATGCTCTACACAGAGTTTAGATATTTTCTTATGTAATGAAACCCTTCCACATGTGAATTTGCGTTTCCATAGATTTTTCCCACACTCCTTTAATGAATATGCAAAAGTATTGCAGATAGGTATCAATGTATAATAATATTGGCTTCCCCTTTTTTGCTAATCCTGTTCGATTACTCAGCAGACACACACATTCACTCGAGCGAAGTTTTCATTTACTTCGCTTACTTCCATTATATTTCTTTTCCGTCCGCAGTTTTATTTGAATTTTTCAGCTATTCATTAAATTCATTTTATTTTCTTAATATTAAGATACACTTTTTTTCTTTTCGATATGCAACAATATGGAAAACTTAAATGAATGCATCTCAATTTGCTGCACAGAAAAAAAAACTTTTATCCCTTTGCCCACTCGTGCGTAAATTGTAATTTTAAGTTTCTTTGTGTGGGCGAGAATGCGTATACCTGCATGCAGATATGTATGTACGTACCAAACATATGGATATTGAATAAAGTATAAATTTTAAGTAACTTTTGCTATTTTCTTTTTGTCGTTCATAGTCACCGGCATAGACTTATGCATACTATTGTAGATTGCTCAGTGCATGCATACATATTTATAAAAACAGATTATATGTATGTATGTACCATCATGGAGAGTCGTTTGAGCATCCGCACTAGCAGCTCCAATTGATAACCAATCAGGTGTAGAAAGCCAACTATGAGGATCCTTGGAAAGCCTTGCTTATATACATATGTATGTGTACGAGGGTTGGCCAATAAGTCCGAGATATTTTGAACATTATATTTGACCACTATGATTGACGCCCTCCAAGAAATAAGATTTCTCCACTTTTTCTTAATAGTAAAAACCATACAAAAGTCAAAAAATGTAGACTGAGGCAGACGGCAATGGAGCCTAGGATCTCTTGCTACTTAACGAATAATAACAACCTCTGCACACTCAGCTATAGCCAAAGCATGTGCATGAGTTTTAAAATATGTATTCAAATTGAATAAAACTTCTTTCAATCGTTAAAACGAACTCAACGTAAAATATGTTGAAAAATATTTCTTCTGTTCAAAGATTAGAAATCGCTATCATGGAAAACACGAAAACGACTCATTTTACTTTTTCCCAAGTGAAAGAACTTTTCAATCCACCCTCGTACAATGGTATATGCGGCTGTATGAGTATTCACATTAATTTACCAACCATTTTGTAATCCTTTTTATATTTTGCTACTCTTTTTTAAATCAATTCATCTGTCTCCACCCTCCCTAGTTCATTTATATGGGCGTCTGCTTAACTGAAACTTTGCTGTTCTGATTGGATCGTTGCGCTGCTGATGCCAGCTCTCTTCCGGGTTTATTGAATTTGTCATTCATAGCTACGCGATTAACGCCACAAAGTAATAAAACGTGCACACTGCAGTGCATGCAAATGTTATGAAAAGAAAAGCTGGTACATATGTAGGTAACACGCAAAGTGTGTTGTTGTTTAAAACACTTAATATGCTAAAGGAATTATCGAATAATAAATTCCTTTGATGGAAATAAAAGAAGGTATGATACCTGTAATATGTATGTAAAAATAGGCATTTTGTAACGGCAAGAAGTGCTTGGCAGGTCTACCAAAAAAAAAAACAAATTTACGTACCATAAACACATAGCTACACATGTATAGTTCTACATATGTATGCCAATTTTTTCTTCTTCTTGATTGACCATATGGACGGAAAAGTGATTCTGGCCTTTTCCAACGTAGCACTCCACTGACTGCTCGCGTTGCTGGTATTTAGAAGGCAAAACAAGTTAATATTTAACTCTTCTCTTTGAGCCCTCATGCTACAGAAATTTGCCACGAGCAAGATGCGGTATAAGAGCTCACTAATGTCAGCCACCTTCTACAATTACCCCCCTGAAAATGCCTTTAATGAATACACATAAGCGAAAAGTGAACGATTTCGGGCGAAAATAAAAGCTCATGATAGGGCTGATTACACCGAAACATAAAGAAAGTGGCGTGTGCTTTTAACCAGGCCCACCTACCGACATCTATTTCGACCCACTGAATTTGAATCTGAGGTCAGTTTGACTCGTAAACCCTCAAAGTTTCAAGTAAATTGCGAAAAAAATGCAAAAAATTCGCAAATTTTGCGAATTCCCTAAACCGTATATATGTACATACATAACTTTTCAATAGGTGTAATAGTTTCTGAGAAATTAATTAATCAGCATAGATTTTTTGTTTTTTTTTTTGATGAAAGAGGAAAAAAATTCAAGCTTTAACAGGGAAAAATTTAAGAAACAACAAATTCTGTGTATTTTTTTTTCTACTTGCATTAAAGCCTGTTCCGTTACAAAAAATCAAGCTACTAATGAAGAAAATCGATGGATAAATAAAAATGGAACGACTGTTCAAATGAAATTGCGCAAGGATTTTTGTATGAAATATGAACTCGAAAGAGTGTGCATGGCGTATGAGTAACATAACATAAACAAATAATCTGAAATGATTAATTAATTTCTCTGAAACTATCGCGTTGATCGAAAAGTGATGTATATACGGTTTATGGAGAATGTTGTTAGGTTTCATTTGCTATATCTCGTATTAAGATTGCTCAATTGCTTCATAAGATGTACTGTGATTAAGTGGAACCACCTATTTTTGGCTGAATAACGGTGAATTGAAAATATCTAGAAAACTTATCCATGGAAAATCAGCGAGCAATTCTACATAGGAATTGGATAATGACATTTTTGAATTGAATATGGTAAAGCAACTATCTGGGAGTATTTTGATGAAAATGGAACTAAGTATAGACTTATTTGTACATACAGTTAAAGAAAACCCATAAAAAGGACCGATTTTTTTTAATAAAAAACAAATAAAAATTATTTCGAAGAGGTTATACTTTTACCTGAAGAATGTTTGCTTATCAGTGAGCCCACCCCCCTACCTACCTTCTCCTCAAGCTTGTCGTGGTACTTCTTGGACATCTCGTAAAAATCTTACAACAAATAAAGTTTACTAGTTTAGATTTTGTTCAAATCAACATTATTAATGTGAATAATAACTTAAAATGGCATTTACTACTCCTGGTTATTAAACAAAAAAAAAAAATAATAGCAGATTAGATTCGTACAACTGTAAGCTTTGCTAAAACATACAGATGTTGAGTTGTTGTCTGCCTGTCTCTGGACATGACTGTGCTCTGGTGAGCGACACAACGTTATATTGAGCGCAAATTTAAGCTCAGCGGAGCTCCAGACCAAGTATTGAGACATCAAAACATTTAGTAAACTTTTGTGCTCAGTAACTTTGGGTTGATTTTGCGCTCGTCCACTGGGTGGTTAGTCGGTAGTAATTCGTTTCGAAAAGGGTGTGTTATGTGCAGTTGACAAGCAGTGGAAAAGTGTCCATAGGAATAATTAAAATATCTTGTTATAATAAATTATTTTTAGTAATAGCCAATTACATAGTAACAAAGTATCAAAATATAGCTTTATATTGGTGAATATGTCCACTTTTGTGAATGCTGTGCGTGGCCTCTTCCGACGCCATCCCTTTCTCACCAACAGTGCAATCTATGGCAGTTTGTATGTCGGCGCTGAGTTTACTCAGCAATATTTAATGAAACATGTGCTGGTAAATTTTTATTATTTTCTCGACTCTATTTATGCAACTACGTATGTATGTATGTATAAATGTTTAAATAATTTTTGTGTGTGCAATCAGCTGTTGATGAAGTTATGTTTATACATAAATAATTAATTGAAAGAGTCTGTACATAAACAGGGTGTCATATGCGAAAATTTGACTGAAGGGGTGGAAAGCTTAACAAAAACTGACCAAGGAAAAAAAAGCATACGCCAATACATATATGTATAATTTTTGCAAGCCGGTTAGTTAGAATTTCGCGAAATGTTATTTTTAAAGGTGCCCCACCGATTAAGTACCTCCCCGATTTTTTTTTTTCAATTTCAATATCGAATTACTCTCCAGTTGCTATATTAAAACGGTGGATGGCTATTTGATAGACATCCATTAAACTTGTTTTCATAACTTATGATCATGTGTGCAGGTCCTTAAATCAAATATTCATCTAAAGTTTATGTTCGCTAAACTTTTTCGATATGGCAAATTTGGGCAGGTCCACAGAGCTTATTTAAACGAACCGAACTACATCAAAATTATCATATCGAAAAATTGCTGACTTATTCCCTTTTGTAATTAACCGATTAAATTTGTAAGTGAATAAGTGTTTAAGGTGCGATTTTGTTAGTGAATTTTAGTAACAAATTAATACTTTAAGACATTTGTTATTGTTTATATATAAGGATGTATTCATATTCAATTTACACCTACATACGTACACCAACACACTTCTTTTCACACACAGCCAAAAAACGATGC